ACATCTGTTACTAATTGCAGCCATGCGTTAACGGAAACCGGATCAACGGATCAATGAGAATCGAACATAATATCCCATTTCCATTAAAAAACGTGACTTTTAGTTCGTCATTTAGTTATTTGAATGGAGGCAATTGGTTTTGTCTCCCCTCGCGAAAGGCAATATGATATCCAGATCTTTGATGGATCAGTTGAAACGGACGAAAAATCCTCATTTCGTTGTTTATATATGAAATAACTTTTTTATATTTCAACGTTTTGGAAAGCGATTCTGACTTCGCCATTTACACTGCGATGGTAAAATGGTACAAATTTCTGAATAATTTCTGCATTTAGTAATCAAAATATTTATTAAAAAATCATCAATTTAAAGTAAAGACCTTCGTTAGTGAAAAGATGAGAGAAATTGTAGGTAATTGAGGGTATAAATAGAGAGGTTATAATGATAGAGACCTCACCAAACCAGTCTACCCCACTTCACCAGGGAGGTGACTTCAACAAAGATGAATGAAGCACTAAATTTCTTAATTTTTTTAATATTTATTACTTTAATTGTAAAGGCTGGTTGTAATTCTTGCATTTGTATTATTTATTGTATATATTTTTGGGAAAGTTTGTTTGAAAGTCGTACAGTGTATTTCCTTTACAAGAAAAAAACCTTGCAGCCAATTAGCACCAGGATTAAACATAATGTAAATGTTATTTTAACAAAACTACCATTAACAAGTTACAAACCGAACAAATTGTTAAAATAATGAATTAAACTTCTTATTTATTCTAGAACATGAATGGAATTGTGGAATTTCTTTAATCTTTTCTAGGAAAATAGTCGTACAAAGTCATTCATGCACAAATTGAAAATCAAAGAACATAAAGAGCACCTTGTCTTACTCCTACACGTTGGAATGAAAGACAGTTTAGCTTTTATCTCAGCATCTGAAATTGACACTGCTGATGGTTTACCATCTTCACACAGTAGAATTCCTCTTGATCATCTGCCTCGTTGATGATACGCCATCTTCACACATCGGAGTTCCTTCAAAGCATTCACCATTAGTCTCGCTGATGATGTCCTTAGCTTCAAACTGCCATTAACCTTGCTGATGGTGTTCCATCCTCACTTACTGGAGTTACTCTAGAGCATCTGCAATACTCTCCCTTACGGTGTACTTTTCTTAATACGCCAGAGCCTCGCTGGTGGTGTGCTTAATTTTACACATCACAGTACCCCTAGAGCCCCCGTCTATAGTCTCGCTAGTGCGTATCTGTTCACATCAAAGTTTCTACAGGTGCATCACAAAGCATCAGACGAGGTGAGCATTGTCGTTTGCGTCATTCCGCGCATTCAGAGGCATTTCCTATGATACAGATGTCTAGATAGTGTTAAGGATTCGCACAAACTATGAGTTATCGCAAGAATCAGTCACAGCAAGGCATGCATGTTGCTTAAGCGTTTTCTCTAACGACGTACAACGTTGCTTATGTAACATGAAAGGTACGTGAATTTCTGCATTTCCTATGTATGAGTAACCTGTCATTTCCGCGAAATCGGAGTTTTCAAGTGTGCTTTTCACATGTGTTTTTGTAATTTAAGCAGCTATCGATAACGCCCCTGCCCCACCGGTGTCAGTGATTCACCCAGTAACCTTATAGACATTTCCCCTGAATTCAGGACAAACAATGTTGACAGGGATAATATTTCTCTTGTATTCGGAGAGTTTAAAAAACTCATGACGCATTGTTGAGTCAATATTTTGAATCCTGCCTACATTTAGATACAAGTGTCGGGAAACAAACCAATCAAAATACGACAATTTTATCCTCTGATGAATTCGTTTTCAAAGGTCAATCTAAACATCTCTCAGTTTGAACAGAAAGGACAAAGAAATGAGAGGAAGATTTGTTTTTTTGTTGACATTAATGCAGTAAATAAACCCTTGGTTTATATATATGATGATGCGAGTTGAATATTAAATAAACATGGCTCACTGTTCTTTAACAATTCTATTCAATTACTGATTCACTATGACGTATTCAATCCAGAGTTTTGTTTAAAGTACAAATATGCTAATTTTTTAGACGTTTTTGACAGGTCGTCATCGAAACACAAGCCTACTTAAGGCCTTCCTGAGTCGTTAAATGCTTGTAGTTGAATTTAAGATTACCAATAAGAGCTACCAACTACAACTAGCTAGCTGTACCATCTGAAATTGTAAAACTTTATGGAATTATTCTCAATTTAATCCAGTTTAATAAAAAGTAAAAATTTAAAAATGACGATGTTGAATACGTTTGGATTAATATTCTGTTTCCTAGCGACTGTCTCTGGTTATTATAATGATATATATTTTAAAGGTTTGTGAAATATTTTCTGATCATAAAGGTTTTTTTTTATGAATGTATCAATATGCATAACAGGATCGATAAGGATCGATATCTGTGTCCATTACTTTTGGTTTTGATACCTATTATATCACATGCATTACTGTTTTGAAATATTCTATGTCTAAATATATACCTGAATGTACTCAATGCATATGGTATATTAAGATTTGGTGGTTTCTCAAATAAATATTTTTTGCTTAAGACATATTTATGGGTTTTTTTCAGAGAATGATTCAGTATTTTTATGCATTAAGTGTTTTTTTTTTGCATTGTAAAGTGTGTAATATGGTGTGTAAGAAAGCATTTACACAATATGGTTGATTCTTTCTTGTCTCTGATACGTAGATATTAATTGAGTATAATTGCACATTGAATCATGAATAAATGCGTTCAGGATATAACTTCAACATATTTTAACAACACCTAGCTATATCGTTTCAGATTGAAATCAGCTCAATTGAGCTTTTGTGGTTATATATCTATTTTGATGATATACATTTGCATATAACTGGTTTTGTCTTCTTCGGAGACTGTCCAGTCTTTCGGATGTAAATGTAGATATCTCGATAATTGAAAAAAGGGAATTATAAAGCATAAAATCTACCCTGGTACACATACCTCAATAATATTAGGTCCAATCAAGATTTCTTTTTCTTTTTTATCATGAACAGTTTTGTCTCTATTTTCCAGGATGTGATTACGCTAGATGTAATTATTATGCTCAGTTGACTCGGTTACCCAGTTCACAGTTACAATCTGCTGGTTACAGACTCTTTTATCAGTGTAACTGTCCAGTTTATGGTGAGTACAGATAATATACCACTAAGATTAATGGCGCTTCTATGCATTATCATGTGGAGAAGGGCAAAGTCGGACCCGTTTAACACTGAAGGCTTTAAAGTGGACCAAAAGCAAATTCAAACAAGGCTTGAGAGCACAGAGGCACGTCTGCTAGATTGAAAGATGCTCCCAAATGAAATACAAAAATAAACTATATAAGCTATATTGACTTTCCGATGGGAACGTATCGTGCCTCACCTGGTGGACGGCAACTTTGGTGCCTTTTCAATAGAAAAAGGCCGAAATAATTAATTGTACTTAAGTAGTGCAAGAAACAATCCCCACAAATTAACTGGGAAGCCGACCAGCTTTTGATGGAATCATTTCAATTGAGTTAGTGTTCTTTTCTTTTCAGGACTTTCTCTATACAACGTTCAACCAACACAAGCACCATACCGACCAGTAACTCAAGCCCCTTACAGACCAACCCAGGCACCTTACAGACCGACTCAAGCACCGTATAGACCAACCCAAGCACCCCAATCACGTAGGTTACGTTGTTTTATTAATTAGGGGGTTTTATTTAGTTTTAAATTTGCATGAGAGCTTAAAGTAAGTTAGTAATTGAAAGGTATGCCGATATTACACCGACATTTATGAAAGAGTAAGCATGTCTTAACGCCAGAGCAACACACCATAAATAATCATTTTTGTGATGTTACATAGAAGAAATAGGGCTTAACTCGAGAGCTTCAAACTTATAATATGAAAAGTGATAAGGGGAACAAAAGCAACCAAGTCATCGCTCCGGAGGCTCTATTTTCCACGTGAACTCTGAGATTCTCTCGTACCATTGCTACGCTGTCCAATTTTGAGTCGCTATTCTACGTACCATGCATCGTATTCAGCTCACCTGTTTTAATACCAATTATCATATGTAATATTTCAAAATACGTCCATTTATTCTACTGTTACAAAGTATATTTAAATTTTAAAGTAAACTTTGAGGTGATGTTTTATAAACACTAGGCCACTTGACACGCGTCTCAAAAAGTTTATCAAAACTTGTTTCAAATTTTATGATGGTTTACTTTCAATTTCTCAAATTACCAAAATGTCAAGGATAAAGTATGAATGGTTCTCGACATATTTATATAGCTTACAATTCATGTATTATTTGCAAGGATGGCACGAGTTATGTCCGAATAATTTGCTCAACTGAAAAACGACACGAAATGTGGTGATTCATAAGGGGTGAATTTGGGGGTCGGACCGATGGACACGGGCCCAAGGAGGTCTTGGGACTTACGACTACGATTCCAAAATATTTGAACGAATTCATCTAAATCTCGATTGCCTGAGAGGAATAAATCCACGATCACGATCAAGTGGCTATTTGGGGTAGAGACGCTTGGAATCCCAATGGTCCAATCAATTCAAGGGCTCCTGAACAGTTTATAATTCTGTTATAAAGCAGAGAGCGTTATTTACTGTGTGAGGGATTCCCTCTTACCAGCTAACCCTTGTCTCTACTTTACGTACCATGCGACAGTTTTAAGGGCACCTGCTTCTTGATACAATATTGCGAGACATTGTTTGATATCTCATATTCAGAATGTGATGTGAATCAGGTAACTGGCTCAGCCTTCTACTATTGACCATTGGGCATGGGGGTGAGGTTCTTGGAAACCCATTCTTCCAATCAGATTTAAGAGCTCCTGCTAAATAACAATTATGTATACTCTTTTTAGATACGGTTATATTTGTTATATTTCAGAATGTGGAGTGAGTCAGGTGACAGGTTCGGCCTCCTACTATCTATCTCTACTCCGTGGTCGAGTTGTAGGTGGGGAGAACGCCAAGGAATGCGAGTTCCCGTTCTTAGCTTATGTTAACGCTGGCGGCTCTCAGTGTGGTGGAACTATTATTGACAACCGACATATTGTTACTGCTGCTCATTGTATGGTGTAAGTATTCTTCACGCAGAGTCGTTTGTATGGGGGGTAGTGATACGGGGCATGACAAAACTGGAGAACCAATCCAATGGTACCTCAGTCTCCATTATAATCTTATAAGATTTCTATCGCAGTTTCGATGTTATTGCGTTATGTTTTAACCAATCAAAGCATGGCATACGGAGCCCGTCCCTCGATAACAATGATGATTGTGGGATAACAAAGCGGAAATATTTTGCTATGTTACTCTACTTGGGTTTCGCTATCTGGTACCTGTATGTTATATATCTGTATTATATTATAGGAGCGGTAATTCTATTCGACCAGCCTCGTCAATAACTATTGGTGTGGGATCATCATATAAGAATAATCTGAGAAACTACAGAGTTTCCAGGGTAACTGTTCATCCCAATTATCAACCAAATACATTCGGTAAATCTTTAAATATTCATCCAAATACATCGAAACGTTGTATAAAACTTAAACCAGTGGATTTTGCTCTGTAAAACTGTACCTATATATCTTGTAAAGGATCTACGGGCCGTAACCAATAGGAGAAACATGTTTAACTTTAACCAATTTTCTTGTTGAAATAGAAGCTCATGATATTTTGTTTCATGTTTCCTTTTTTGTACCAATGTTTACAAACTGTACATCTTTATCCAAAAGCCCATAAAGCAAGGCTCAATCTGACTTGTAAGTGTTTAGGGTATTTGCAATAAAATTTTTCCTGTCCTGTATTTCAGACTACGATGTAGCAGTTTTGACCCTCTCCAGTTCTCTGACCAGAAGTCGATGTATCCAACCCGCCTGTCTACCAACTCCCAGCCTCCAGCTTCGAACTGATACTAAATGTATGGTCGTAGGATGGGGATTAACACAATGTAAGTAGTTAAAATGGACTCTGGTGCTTATTGAGTTGTTATAGTAACAATCATTCTTACTAGCAAAAAAATACCAGCTCTGTCCCATGGCGGGAAAACTCTCAACAGTGCAAAACACCATATTTCAGCGAAGCAGTAAGTGATTATTATTATGGAACACCTGATTCCGCTATACGGTAGGCATTGGAGAGTTCAACTGAAAGTGTTTATTGGGTATACCTATTATTACATTATGTCCGTTAATGGAAGTACAAAATTAAGCTACCCTTTCCCAGGCAGTATTGCAAAAAAAAAAGGTTTTCAGAAAACATTTTCCTTTCCATTCTTATCAGGCCCGTCGCCAGACTGGAATGTTCGGAAGGCAAGTAATATATCCGGAGGGAAATTGGAGTGTTTAGTTTCACTGATGATATTGGTCGGCTGGTAGAATTTTTTTTCCGTTTTTTGTGTGCCCCAGCCGCCTTACCCCCATACAATTGTTTTTAATGATAAAAGCCTACTGTTATTGCCCATGTTACAGATCCCGGTGGCTATTCACCTAATAATGCCCAGAAAGCTATGGTACCAATCGTCAGTATGAGCCAATGTAAACAATCATATGGTTCAAATACCATCAACGATCTAAAGATATGCGCTGGATACCTCAGTGGTGATAAAGATGCCTGTAAGGTAAGTAGTGATAGTAGAAGAGACGGGGAGTCTGTAGCACAGTCGGTAAGAACGTTGGAATGTTACGTGACATCATTTGATTGGTTATGATGAGCGTATGGTCATTCGACGGATATTTTAACAGTAAAGTAGCCGAACATCCAGTCATATTCAATTTTCACGGTGGTATAGATTTATTATCAAAGCCGTCAGTGAGTGTATGTTATCTTGTCTGGTAAGCTATCTTTACGAAGGGTTACTGCATGTGTTTATGTAATTTTATTTCAGGGTGACTCCGGTGGACCCTTGTTATGTGCTGAAGGTTCGTCCTGGACTTTGGCGGGTATTGTTTCTTTTGGTAATGGTTGTGCCAAGCCCTATTATCCAGGCGTATATTCTTACGTACCAAACCTAAAAACATGGATAGACTCGATTACAAGGTCACAATGATTAAAACTTCAAACACAAATCCAAACCACTTTTAATGTCTTCAAATAGAAGAGCTGTATTGAAACATTGTTCCGGTCCATGACGTCATCAAATGTGATTCCGGTGATTTGCTAAAAATGTATTTTGACGTGTTGATGACGTCCTCATTACAAATTAATGACGTCATGGTGTGACGTTGTAGATGTGTGGCTATTTATAGTTTGAACAAGGTTACAATTTACCTCTTACACAAGTTATATTTGTAAATAGTGAAAAGTTTGTATTTTTTTAAGATAGTCTCCATCTATTTTTCTACCGTTTTCTGAGTAGCCTGTTTTATTCTTTGTTATCTTCTGTTAGAAAATCTGTTGTAATTTCGTTGTGATCTTTGTAATAAAACGTTTCGCATCTGAAATAGTGCAGTTCTTCCCTCATTGTGGGTGGGGCACGATTCAAGTCAATACCATGAACACTTTTTCTATTTGACTAAAATGATTTTTTTAACAGTAACAGTGAAAAAAAGCCCCATGTGACCACCGTAAACTCCAAATGCCATACCCAGTTGACAAAACCAGCCGTAGAGTGCGATCAAGAGATCCGGGATGGCACGCATTCCCTGCCACTGACGATACCCATCTACTGTACGAAGGATTAACACAGAACTCTGGAGGATATCCAAAAACCATTAAGTAACTTGTACTAAAGCATAAACACAAAAAATTATCGAGTAATAGTTGACCTGGACAATATCACTATACGTGATGTAAACAATAGACTATAACACTGTATCTGATAGTTTCACCTAGTATACTATAGAGAAATATGTCGATCTTACTGTCGTTAGATGATTTAAGATTTCAAACAGAAATGATGCACACGCCAACATGTTCAACATTGGTACTAAATCAAAACAGCTCGAACGCAATAGGGCGATGTGGTGACAAACCCAGTCATGAATAGTACAGTGTTTCTGATTGGAGTTTTCGTCTCCATATTGATCATTAGGCGAATAGAGATAGTTTACACCAAGTAATTACCAAGAGATGCAGTAATACACTTCTGTCTTAAAATATTAAGAAATCCCCACATTGGGCGGGAAAGAGGATGTTCCGTGTCCATAGATATGTCATTATATTCCATAAGGAGAAGTAGTCGGTATAGCGACTAATGAAGCTACTCACTAGATCTGAATCTAAAACTTCAAGAAAGACTTTAACTTAGAGTGGAAAGGTGTGAGGGACTGAACGTGATTTTAGTTGATCTCAGGTACAGGGTGAAGTCATCAAAGGTAATCTTTAAATAAGCCATTGGTTTATCAATAGAATTTAGTTTATTTCCTTTAACATAAACAACTGATCTGGGAGGATCTTTCATTATAGTATCAAGTCATTAAGAGGAACAAGTCAATTAGATCAGTTGGTAAAGTGTGGATTTAAGAACAATTTTTCGTGAAGTCGGGGCAATTGTAAAAGGAGGGAGTCGTAACTGCACCATCCATAGTGACTTTTCACAAGTTATTCATGTGATCAAAGAGAGAAGCTTAGAATTTGTAAAAGCTGGAAAACTTACATCTCAATAAGCCAGTGAAGGACCTCTTTCGGAATCGTCCCTGCGGATAATCTTTGATAATTATTTGAACGGAAAAAATAGAACAAGCAGTATGTGGATGTTGTCTATAGTAGTCATCACTGGATTATCTGCCTTGGTCTACGCTCAGCAATTCCCTCCATTCCCGCAGACGATAGCACAACCTTTCGCTCAGCAACAAATCGTTCAGCAACTGAACGCTCAGCAACAGTTTCAATCGTTTCCATGGCAATTTTCAGGTAAGTGTCAGTTTCGATTCCTGAATTTCGTGTAAAAGTAGATCACTGTTATTGGTTGTTAACCAATCTTGATGAACCTGATTTATGTAAAGAACCGCGAGAAAATCTCTAGGAAAATCTTAAAAATACTTTAGGAATTGACAAGAAATTACTGAACCGACTGACTTGAAAGAGCCGGATCTTCATGATAATGTCTACATTCAATTTTAGAATGTTCAACACAGTTTGGTGGACGATGTTCAAGTTTTTGTTACACTGGAGAACAGCCAGCTCATCCTTATTTCTGTTTTTATGGCATGGCTCAATGCTGTATTCCAGTAGCCAAGAGTAAGTACCAGGGGACATGCTCCAAGTCTTCCGTTTCTATATTTAGTTGGTGGCAAAAAAAAAGCTTCTTTAAGCCACTTAATGATACAAGATGTATTTGAAGTCGTTTTCAGATTAGCAGAAGATGTTATTGATATACATCGATATACCACAATTCCATACATAATATCAATGCATTGGATTTTTGTTTGCATGTTCAACATTTTAAAGGAGTACTACCTCTAATAATGGACAAACAAATTTAAATAATAGTTACCCAATTACATAGATTTTACTGGTTTTACAGGTTGTAGCAGTGTTGGCGGTACATGTCGACTATCTTGTGGTGCTGATACACCCTCGACAGATACAACAGTGGTCTGTAATGGTCAACAGTATTGTTGTATGCCTAATAACAACACTTCAACTACACCGTCAACGACAACTGGGTCAGTTTCACAACGACAAGGGGGTAAGCTCTTCATTCGTGAAGTCAGGGATAGCATTCTTTCCAGATAACAAAACAAAATAACATTGCGAGCATGATCCTTACATATGAGGCAAGATGCCGTATGTCATTCTGTAGCATCTGCCTGGTTATTTTGCTGATATCCTCATATCGTCAAGGTCCAAAATTGTAGTTTTAAAACTTCTTCTGCATCGTATCCTTTACAAAAGACCTTGTCATTTAAAGTCTACTGCAGTAATACCATCCTGTAGCATCTATTCAGTGAGGTGGCTCATACCTTGTCGTTTGAAAGGTACAGGTAGAGTTTATATCGTATTTTGGACCCCCTTTTGGTTATCATGTATGTTGTAGATTCATCATGGTAATTTCTTGTTTCTATTTCAGCTTGTGGAGCAGCAACACCGCTTAACAATGTTCAGCCTCGTATCCTGAATGGTTATACTGGCCGACAGTGTGAATGGCCCTGGATGGTATCATTTCGACATCCTACTAAAGGCTTGTTCTGTTCCGGAGTACTCGTTAATAATGATACTGTTTTGACGTCTGGTCGCTGCGTTGTCAAGTGAGTTACTTCCCTTAGTTTTTCCCGCCAAACTCTACATATGGCCTTTGTTTGGAACTTACCATCGACACGTGGTAGCATGGTAGCGCCGATTTGGAAGGAATCACGTCTTCCTTCCAACCCTTCACAACGAAAGCAACACACTGTGATCTCATCTTTGTCAGCCAGATATTACATTTTTGTGTTGGTTTAGCGTAACAGTTCTTGTTCGCATTGAACAGAACTACGAATTGAGAATAGCTAGAGCACCCGGCATCACGTGTACATATCAGAGCATTGTCCAAAGATGTATTGGCAGCTTATGGAAGCCTATTTTGAATAAATATTCACCTTTCGTTGAACTCTTGGTTATATATTCCAATGCTGTATTGTAAGCTTTTTTATTTTGAATACCTATTTTCAGCGCTCCTCTACAAGAGATCAAAGTCCATGCTGGAGATTTTATCACCAGTAGACCTGATTTCCAGGAATCTGTGTATTCTGTAAATAGTATTGATATAATGGAGGGTTATAACTTCCAGGTCAAAGGTAAATTAAGTACTCTACTTCTGACTTATGGCCAGTTGCTTGTGCTAGCTTATCGCCATCATACTTAAGTTTCAAAAGTGGAAAGTGACGAACAATTCTGATTTTTTTTTTTTAATTGCGACCACATTTACGTAAGCATATGGTATATTTTCATTACATTAACGAACACAGCCTGTGAGCACCAGGTCTTGCCCCATACGAAACTCAAGGTGCATTTCCATGCCAACCACTCATACCTGCATCATTGCCACCAGTTAACATGAATTTGCTGGATATTTCAAGTTTGTTCAGCTGTGGTAGCTAGATTTTATTTTCCAACTCTTATGGTCTGAATTTCAGGTAAAAATCTAGCTGCTGTAAAACTAGCATCACCTATAGTGTTTGACCAGTGTAAGAGACCAGTTTGTTTGGTTGATAAATCCATACCTCTAAAACCCAGTACTAAATGTTACATAGCTGGCTTCGGCGCGACAGAATGTAAGTAAATCCATTCATTCAATAATGTGGTTACAAAATAGATGTAGTCTTTTATTTGAGGGGGGAGGGGATGGTCATTTGACCGGACAGGCCCAGAGTCAGGCATACACAGTCTCGGTCCAACCCGCTGAACCTTTATTATCATTACATTCGTAAATGCCACCTTTTGTGAGCTACCCTTTAAAAATTCAGTGGCTCCTACTCATAAAGCCTACCCCATCTAACGATCCGAAGAAATACCATTGATCTGAAAAGCGGTTTATAACTTTATTCAAGATGGGCAACCACCAGCACTTCAAGCAGCAGATGTAACTCTACTGGACAGGAATACCTGTCAGACATATATTGCCATGGCAACGGGTGAAACATTGCCCTCAGATGTCGTCTGTACCAACACTCAGCTTGATAATACAGATGCCTGTCCCGTAAGTTGAGTTATTCTTTAGCTTGGCGCCCACTTTACCAATATATATATATATATATATGTGTTATCTTGTAATAAGGAGGCTCGATAGCACCATTAACCAACTCCCAACTTGATAATACAGATACTTGCCCCGTTCAGTTTTCCTTTAGCTCGACAACCACACAGCACAACCATTTTCAAAACTTTATCATCAACGGGATCAATAGCAGGAAAATGAGATCTACCAACTCCCAACTTGACAATACAGACTATTCCAGTTTTGGGCAGATCTAATTGGTTCATGCATTCCACTGAAACTAAGAGTTTCATTACTTGGCTATCACAAAGTTATTATCAGCTTTTGATTTACATAAATTGGATAAAATCGATGCTTTTAGTGGCGCAGATATACACTTAAAGATTCGAAAAATCACTTTACGATCCCTTTATAATTCTATTTTCAGGGCGATGACGGTGGGATGTTGGTTTGTCCTGATGTAAACAATCGATGGTCTCTTGTTGGTATTATCACCTACTATTCCTGTAGCCGCCTACCAACATTATACACTGATATATCTACCTATTCTGATTGGATATTACAACGATTGTAGATTACAATTATAGTCGTTCAAAAATATCAATGTAAATACAGCTCAGTTCCTACCATCTGTATCTCTTTTTGGAAGTACATCTTCCTTCCAATTCCCCTGCAATTAAAATATACCTTGAAAATTAAAAAATTTCGTCACTTCCGGGGCGTTATTAACATGCACATGTAGTTTTTATCCAGTGGATGACGTCATCAAAATCAAAATATGTAGTCACTTCCACGTACAATCATTCATCAGCATGTCAGGTGATGTTTCTCAATACTTTGGGCAGAGGGTTTGTCATTATAAAACGGACATGCATTAAATAATTATAAAAGCCCTTTTAAAATGACAATACAATACAATGGACGATCTATATCCCGGTATATTTTCAAAAGAAATTTTTAGACAGAAACACAAACCAGAAATACATGATAAGCCGGCTGGTCCTATTGTTCTGTGACGTCACATGTATCAAAGTAAATTTAGCAGTGGGTGGCTAGATACTTGAAGTAATGTTTCGTTTACAAATGTAAACAATTCCAGGTTTTTAATTTACTTAGCATTTACACATTTTTACTGAAGGAAATGGGCGTTAACCAATGTCAGTGGTGAAATAACAATGCATGTTTGGTAGTCATTTTAAAAACATTCGGACCTCTAATGCGCATTGTAATCATGTATACCACTGGTAGCCATGGTTATCTAACTTGGTCTCTTCTAAAAATATTAGTAATTGGACACGTCAAACACCAAATCTTTATCCCAAACCAGGCAGTACAGAGATCACAGTAGGCCAACATTTGCAGTTTTCGGCTCATAAACTATTCAAGTTAAAGGGAGGTAATTTCTCAATTAAAATGAAAATTAAATTTAAGCTACTTCAAGGGAAGCAACTCTTAACCAAAATTGTTTATGTCTCTTGATATTCAGTAGATTGAATGTCTTAGCTCAGAAAATTCCTGTCTCTGGCTCAAAGCGTTTTTTGAACAAAAGATAAGAAACTGTTTTCGTTCCCAAACTGACCAACGTCTGATTGAGGAACACCCTATGATGTATTGTGTAGTATATGTGGCTCGAATAACAATACATTAGAAACTATTTCCGATCACAAACTGACCCTAACATCCGATTGAGTAATACCCTTTGATGCATGCATCTCATTGTGCAGCGCATGGATGTCTTATCTCAAAATATCAATATCGGGTTCGAAAAAATTAGAAACTTTTTTCGTTCACAAACTGACTCTGATATTTGATTGAGGAACGCCCTTTGATGTATCTATCTAATTGTGCAGTATGTGAGACCCTGGCTCCGAGGGGTTTAATGCATGCTATTGTTTAATGATCAAACCCAATCTTACTCTTTCCTCATTAAACTGTGAAACCGGCACAGAATTAACCTCGAGTTTACTATCTTCTTTGTTATCTCCCTTGGGAAATTCAAATGTCAATAAAAACGTTCTTTCTACACAAATATTTAAATCGCTCTTTTAATTTATTGTATTTACTGTTGTATTCATACGCCATATATACATTTTTATTGACGTCAATAGAGTTTCCTTGGACTTCCGTGTTTCTAACTGAGCATGTAGATCTGTAATCATCTTCACAATATCAAGCTATTACGAACTTATACCAAGACTACAATAGTCACCTTTCTTGTATCTAGGAAGTTTGTTATGAATCGATTGGATTGGATTGTGCGCTACGGAAACAACCATTCAGCTTCGGCAGAAAGTACGTGAACACAAATTTATAATGATTACAGCCTTCGTGAGGGCCGATGAGGGCTTTGATTGGCTATTTTGCGTACAATCCAACCATATTGCTGCATTCCATAATACAAGAATTGTGACTATTGCAGTCAAGTACGAAGTTCGTAATAGCTTGACATTGTGAAGATGGCCTGTATTAAATTTCTCAATTCTGTACACAAAGATTCAAATCGTTCTTTTTATTCTTTTATATACTACGTTATTCATTTTTTTCGCGTTTTTATTGAGTATACACAGCTAGATAACATTTGTCATTTCTGAAGCTTTTTGTCAATAATTCGTATCAAACAAAAGTAATATCTCATCCTACAATGCTTATAAAGCCATCTATTTTCAAAATGACCGTGACTAAGACCGTGACTAAGACTGTGACTAAGGTACAAGCGGAAATAACCAAAGGGAACACGAAAACCTTCGCCTACTCCATAGCACTTCCTTAGTCTCTTGATACAAAAAGAGTAAAATACCAAAAGAGCACAAAAACCATCGCCTACTCTATAGCGATACCCAAACGCTCTTTATAAAGATCTACTCAGAACTATACATAAACGAACAAAGTGAGTGAAACGACAAAAAGATGAAAGTTTGTACCCTATTCTTAAGAATAATTAAAGATAATTTTAGCACTCGCGTAATACGTAAGTCAATATTTTGATCACGTTTTTTCATTAACGGCCACTCTCCCTTTTTTGGTTTCTTTATTTCGTTCTTTTGTGTCCCAGTGGACAATACACTATATTCAAAATCCGGTTGTTTTTTTCCCAGGACGAATTAGTTATTAGTCGTGATAAGTCATTCTCGATGTATATACATAGCAAAACAACATGAAAGTTGATCAGGGGTGATAATAATAATAATAATAATAATAATGATAATAATAATATTTAATCATCATCATCATCATTATCATCATCATCTTCGTCGTATCTACTGTGTATTTATTCTTGTCAACCAGGAACTGTTCACTATAATATTCTCATCCTCAATAATATGACAAAGACATTCTTTACATTTTAAAATAAAAGTCAGCATGTTCATTTTTATTTAACTTCTCTTTAATATATGTAAATATTCTTCAGAAATATTAGAAATGTACGAAAATCGAATAATTAGGAAGCTCTTTTCCTATTTCCACAGATGTCCTTTCTATATATGGCAAATTCTCAAAAAAGAGTTTCGTCTTTTTAACTTTCAAACGCGGATAATTCTGGACACACATGGATTTGAAGCCTAAAGTTGCGAAGATGAGCTGATTACACAATTACTGATTGGCTTAGCTAAATAAATTCCAGTTTCTGAGACGGAGGTATGATTGGTCAAAAAAAAATGGCCCATCTGTCCTTTTAAATATTAACTAAATAAGGCACAGTTGGAATGAAGTCTGCTTATATCTATAATGATATTCTGCCTGTTTTCGTTTGGCTGGTGGATCTGGTCAATTTATCAGAAAATATTTCGTCCAAAAATAATAAAAAAAAATTCTGAATTATATTTATTCCAGTATGAAAATATTCTGTATTAAATTCACCCAATTAATTATGATAACTATACTGTATTCCGGCATGTCACATGAACATAGTATCACAATTATTAACAGCATCTTTGAAAGGGGGTGGCTATAAACCCACATACACGTTTTAAAAACAGCATCTATGCTTTCAATGGAAAATTTCATTCAATTTGGAAATTTATATCATCATTCTTCCAGTGTTTATTTTACATGACAAATCGCTCAATTGATGACAGGTAATGAAGAAAGGGCGATGGGCGGAGGAAAGATTACGATGGGAGAAAACCGGTAGCTTATAAGATTGAATAAGCTACATTTTTATAACGTGAACGTTTAGGATTGGGTTGGTAGATTTTTGATATTGGACACGTTGATTGATTTTAGGTATGTTTCTTTTGATTTTTACTATTGTCATATCATGATTTGAATATTTCAAATATATTTAAAAAATTATACCGCTTATAAGCTGACTTTCGGAAGGCTTTCATAATTGTTTCAAAATGTTTGTTACGCTTCTACGGATTTTGGATGGAATGTCTCATGAAATTTCAGGATTTAATTCCCATCTCCGTTTAATACTGTCCTATCATGATAGAGAGAAATGTCAGATATAATATTTTATTTTAAAATTATTATTTTTCATATAAAAAATGGAACAATCGTTAATTAAATACAAAAACATAATAAAACTCTTCTCATTAAATAAAATTTGTGATTTCGAGATAAGAATTTTTTTAAAGACAATATTTTAATATTATATATTTGTTGTTCTATTTATCTATCACTGTGTATTCTTGGTAAAGATTCTGGTATTTAAATTGAAACATTGCTAAAATTAAGGAAGGAGTAGTCTATCAATAATATTGTTTATTTTGATATATTTTAAAATAGAAAACTGCTGTTCACTGGTGATCTAACACAGTTGCGTATTGGGGTAAGACAGGGATATCTTCTATGACAGTTCATATTCATAATGATTTTCATTGACTGCCATATTGTAGAAAAAGACAGATTACAATATCGTACAAATTGGACTCTGAAATATATCTGTTGTCAATTGGTGATGGGAAAGGAAAACGAATACTTTTGTTTGATTACAATATATTGACGATGTTTCTTGTCAGACTTTTTGAGGGGTCCGAAGCTAATAATTTTTAGAATTGTACTTTGTAGAAACGATAGCAATTGGCAAAACCACACCCAGTAACGGACGATGATTTCAATGACGAAGGGGTGTCGCGTTGTGAATTATAGAATGCACTAGTCATGGTTTGGGGGTTCAAGGGAGAATTTTCTTATGTAGGAAGCTTGCGAATATATCTAAAGCAATTTTAGCAGTGGAAGTAAATTAAAGTTTTCATTTTATATGGCCCGAAGGGGGATGGGGTGCATGGCCCAAAAATACTGCCTAAATACGCAACTGACCATACTATTTGTAGAGAAATTTGAATTTCAAGCAGTTCATTGCAACTCTCAGATATCTTTCGATAGTATTAGTCCAATATAGATTCGATGCTCGTTTAACCGATTTCTTCATACAAACGAATTAAAGAGGCCAAATCTTCAAATAATAAATTTAACAAGAGGACAAGTATATATATATATAATACCCTTTGATGTATCAGAAACCAGTTTTAGTATTACTGTCCCAGTTATTCATGGTGCTCGGGCTACTGTTCCCTATTTCAGAGCAAACATTTCTCAATGGAATTTGAAGTAGGTTCGTATGTAACGAATTATTAGTTGTGACAACCAAAATTATCATATAAAGGGGTTGTAAAAAGGTTTTCTCGATTGTTTGTGTTTCGTGGTCATTTATGGCTTCTGTTTTCATCACTCCATATTTAATTTTCATTTTCATTTTTCTTGAAAGATTCAATCAAAAAAATAAAATAACAATTCAGCTCTGCTGTTAAAGATTTAGTTCAAGGACATGCCGCCCTCTTTGGCACACTTGATGCCATCGGCAATTTTTTAATCATTTTTTTTTCTCATTCCACAATTTGAATCTCTTAAAACAATGGAATGATAAAAAAACAGAAACGAAATAATGATAATAATAACGATTGGTAGTCATTCTGGGCTAATTGCACTCTTTTGCAACCTGTTGAAAAATTGAACAATAAACAGCAAATAATCGTTAAGGAAAATGACAGATTTGACACAATTTTCGGGTTTGGGCATACGACAGGCAAACATTAAAAAATGTTCTGAAATTTTGAATCAACATGGACTTGTCACTGATGAATAGATTCGCCATCTTGTCAATGTTGTTAAAACTAATCTTGTTATTTTAAAGCTAATTCAGGGCGGCCATTTTTCTGATTTTTATTTGAATTTGAAAATTGTTACGGCTCTTACAAGTTGGGTTTATTTTATAATTTCCACGGGTGCATTTGTCATGTGTACATCACATTCCACTTTTGGGCGAGTCGGAACAAGTGAGCAAGTTGACAACTGGTGCCGTAATAATTTATTTTATCAAACGATTGCGCTATTGATATTTGTAGTGTCTTTAGGCGACATATGTTAGTATGTGCTAGTAAAAAAATTGTTGTAATAAAATCCTGATCCTGATCAAAGCAGGAAAGGACTTCCAATATCAAAATTTTGGCCAGAACGGCAAAATATTTACCCAAAATCAGTGACAAAGATTTACCCTAAATCCATAATCGGAAGAAATACAAAATACAGCTATAATTACAAGGGAATAATAATGTCGAACTATAGTTATTAAAGAAGATAAGTACAATATATTATGAGTAATATAAGCTAGGAGTATTTGCATGCCCTGATATACATAGAAATTAGAAGAATGCTCAGCTGAATTGAAGTATAACGTTCGTCAATAGTATACCTAGTCAACGTTCATCTCTTTTCTTCAACTTAAAGGCCGATGTTTGCTTTTCTTTGATGAATGTCTATTTTACTCGAGTCCACTTGTGTTTTCATCCACCATAGCGCTGGTAAAACTGTGTGTAAGACAGGATTTACAACTGTACAGTACAATAACGACCTATAACAATCCAATCTGGTCAAGGATGTCGTTTTGTATCGGACTAAGAGACTCTGTGACGGGCTAAGGAGACAGGTTTTAAGGGTGTGATCATTTTTTTGTCAAGTTTGTCCGATTTGTGAGAAAAACTGGTTTTTTGTGTGTTTCGTGCTTTGGTATATAGGATATTAATTTGCTCTGTTATTTTTACAGACGAAATGTATGTGCATTGAAGAAGAATTTGTGAAAGTTCCAAGACATCTGTGATAAATTTAAACTTTGTGTACCACATCAGTGTTCAAAAACTACTAAAAGAGACCCACAATTCAAAATGGCGGAATTATTCCAGACGTGTTTTATATTTACGGTAGTATTATGGTTTAACGTCCTATCAACTTCATCAGCTGCTTATAATTTTAATTGTAAGTATACCATATGTTTATTTCGATTTTTTTTTGTCATTGCATCATCATTAATCCTTTTTATTCATTCATTCATCTTTCGATCGATCGATCGCTCGTTCGTCTGTTCGTTCGTTCGTTCGTTTGTTCGTTAAGTCGATCGTACGTTCTATCTGTGCTCCATTCATTCATGCATTCACATAATGTCCAATATATACCGAAAGAAAAGGTTCAGAACCAAGAATCATATTTGACTGCAAATACATTCTTGACTTATTGACTTCACTGCAATTGTCAAAGATTAATCGATACGAAAACCAGCTAGCATCAGGATCCCCGAACAATTTCTTTTATCATTCTTATAAAATCATGTCTAAGGGATTTGCTTAAGGACCATTCGTATAAATTTCCAAGGCCCATCCGGTAGACCAGATCATCAGATCCGGAAGGTGCTATCGTTGTACAATAGCAATTTTTTTTCTTGTTTCCAAATTTTCGGTCTTCGTCAGATACATAAGAGGGTGCAAATATTTAGAACCTATAAGGATATACAATATCAATTCACCCTATACCCAATTTTATCCATTTCACTTTTAAAAATAAAATTTCAAACGAGTTGTTCGTATACGATTTAAAAAAAAATACACGCCGACAGATTTAATGAAAGTCTGTCTTCTTAATTTCAACTATATCAAAAATACCACTTTGACATCATTTTAAAAGATTTGTCGTCAATATTTAGAAACGATGAATTATTCAAGAGAAAATTTGGATGACTTTGATAACTATCATATAACATCTACATGTATGTCTTGTCTATTTATAAACACAACAGGTGCGTGATCAGGGCGTCTAGAGGTATAAAGGTATTCTGCCAGAGAAAATTTAAGACCAGACTTGACCACCTTGGTATCGTCTGTATATAAATACCCCTAGAGGTGTAGGGGTATGCCTACTCTTCCAGACGATAGTCACATCACTGTAATATCTCTGTTGTGTAGGCCTCGTCCAGGTATAAACACAATAGCTATGTGGTCAGGGCCTCTAGAGGTGTAGGGCTATGCCTTTTCTTTCTAGAGAAGTCGTTATCAACTATCGTGCTAAATCTAGGCATCTTCTGGTATAAACACAACAGATGGGTGTCCAGGAACTCAACCTGAGGATAATGGGGCGCTTTGTAAACTAGGCATAGTTTCAGAACTATAACCAAAATTATTCTTTTAAGTAAGACTAGATTCTTTAACATTAGTAGGATTTTTGTGGGAAGAGGGGTAATGCAATCGATCAACGATCCTGAAAGTGTTATAGAAAGAAAAAAAGGTTGAAAACCTCTGCTCTAGGGGTATTCTTACCCCCACAGTAAAACATTTTCGTGTACCATCACAACAGCTAATTGAGAGAGGATTGTAGAGAATAATTCAGCATTTCTAAATATTGACGACAAGTCTTTTAAAATGATTACGAAAATATATAGTATTCCAAGTGATCGTTTTACTTTTTTTGTGAAAAAGACCGGGAAGTGCTCCGACAATATTATATATGTTTGATAAGATTTGAACGACATTTAGAAGTGGAGAGTAGATAAAACAAAAAACACAAGGGGTATATTATGGTATAACGTTATGTGCCTTGTTATTAGAGAAGTGAGTTATACCATAATATAACCCCTTGTATTTTTTGTTATATCTATATGTGTTTGGTTTTTACAAATATATGACGAGGTCCTTATTCAAAGTATAACAGGAAGGGTTGGCCAGTTTTAATCCAAGAAACTTCAGTGCGACGTCACCGTTTTCCACTCTTCAAATAATATAAAATAATACACAAAATATTACCTTTGTATCTTTTATAGTTTTTTCTACAAAATACACAATTACCAACAGGATAAACGCTTCTAATACAATACAAAATTTTATTGATAATACAAATGACAACTCATCCTTGCATTTCTTCCTGAAAGCACGTATTGGCCCCGTATTTCCTTTTGTTACAGTCATATTTAACTCATCCTTGCATTTCTTCCTGAAAGCACGTATTGGCCCCGTATTTCCTTTTGTTACAGTCATATTTATATTCTGGCGAGTAAATACTGTAATAGGTAACGGTTTAAAGTCCACGGTTCACCAGTTGCGGGGTCAATCGAACGTTAGTCTCCGAAACGGAAAACTAAGCTAATCAGTTATGGTAATGGAGATTTGAGCCTTGCTAAAAATGTAAATTCATAATTATCCGTCTTTAAAAGTTAAAACAAACGACTCGTCTTTTTACAAGATTTTTTTTTTGAATATCCGTTGATAAAGTCACATATATACAGTAGACTCAATCGTCCTTCCCACTTTGTCTTAGGACAGCTGACGACAGATGTCTGGGTGTCAGAAACTGTATTAAAAAGACGTTCAACTTCCGATTTTCAGAGAAAAGATGAGCGTGTGAACGGAATAACTAAAAGGTTAGATTGAGGTACTTTTGAAGAAATTGTGCAATTTTCGTATAAAGGGACAGATTCGCCATTTTTTTTTGGGGGGGGGGGGTGATTTGAGTCTTGAACATATGTAAATAGTAGCAGAAATGTATGAAAATCGAATGATTCCTTCAAATATACCTCAAATATTTATATATGTTTTTTCTATATATGGCCGAGTAACATGTAGAGACGAGTCGTCATTTTAACTCTCAAACGCGTATAATTCTTGACACACATGGATTTGAAGACTCAAATTTCGACGGTGAGCTGTGAACACTTTTACTGATTAGCTTAGCTTCAATTACATTTTTTGAGACTAAGGTACGATTGGCCGTACGGATGGTGATTGTGCCCCTTTAAAATCTGGAAATTTTTAAAATACGTTTGTTTATCAGGAAAAAACCTGAATCAGCTTGTAGCATCTTGAACAAAATTCTTCAAAGAAAGATGAGGACCTTTATTGTACTATTATAAGTTAAATGTATTTACTCTGAGTTCTAAAGACACTCGTAGAATAAATATATAAGTAAAATATTTGATATAAGATATGTACATAATGATTATGATATAGTGTCATTGTAGTAATTCGACAAAAAATCGTAAAAATCCGGCAATGAGCACGTGTTTAAACTTTCCGTTTTGTCTCATTAAGTTTGCTTGTGCAACGAAATAGGGGATTTCATAAAAAAAAAACTTTGTTATGAGTTCATCACTTAAACAGGTTGTATAGTTGACAACCCAGGCTCAGGTGGTGTCTGGTGCATTTGTACTGATATCACAATCGACATATATTTCAAAGTCCAACGTTCAATGACAGGGTTGAGTTAGTATATTTAGCTGTAAGAGATATGTTGTCCAAAACGATTGAACAAAACAATAAATATCAGCTGATAGACGTTTCAGTTATCCGTAAAACTTTTCATAATTGAAATCTGACATCTAATATCTCTACAATTCAACAAAATCGTATTGCGAAAGTTTTTCTAACTGATATTGTATTTTTGAAATAACAATGGAATCTAATGACAGTAATCTTGTCAGCGCCCTCCCCCCCCCCCCCCCCCCCCCCCGTCAAACCCGACCTCCCTTTTCTATTTTTTGAAAAATATGTCCAAACTTCAACTCTTTCGCTGATATTTTTGAGAAAAGAAAATAGATGTGTCCCAATTTTAAACATAGTATTAGAAAAAAACTCCTGGCATGACGTTGTGAAAGTTTTAAGTAGTCTAATAGTTTCTAATGTTAGTTACATAAGAATTAACACCTGGATGTGCTAATTGTTTATTTATCTGAAGAACAATAGTTAGGTCAAATCACGCAAATATCACTTGGAGTCAAAAGTCAACAAGTTCGTGTCAATACAGTAGGAAGTTAATTTCAGATCAGTGGGTCAATAGCCGTACTATTAGTTTCACTAGGATCGTAAAGAGGTTTCAAGCTTGGACCATATATGGCTTCATTTCGCATCATTCTGTTTTGTAGTCAGAATTCCGTAGTTCCAATCATTATAGAAATGCTTCATGTATATGACGTCACTATCGCAGAAGTTGCTAATAATAGCTTAGACTCTTTAGATTTAGCTACGTCATAGAAATCTGTATAAGCAAGAGAATTCCGCCAATCAAAAACCTCGTCCAAGGTATGTCAAAATCGGGAGTAAATGTAGTATAGTAGTGGACTAATCCAAAGAGAACTACCATCAGGTGTTTTGAAAGAGTAAGCATGGTCATGCACACGACACCCGCCACTACTATAACGATCAAAACCATGAGATCAATTCATGCCTGACCAAACAAATCAGCCAAAATGCAAGAAGCAGATATATTGTATTTATCAAGGAGTTCTCCATAACAACCAAAATTTACAATAAAATGAAGTTTTACGCCTTGAGAGTATTTGATTATAACAGATATATCATGACATATTGGAGTTTTACGCCCTGTCAATATTTGACCTTGCAAAGAAATGATTTATGTAAGAAACTAATTAGCATTCACGTCATTGTGAAAAGGTTTATATCGAGTTACAACCATTGTATCGAGAACTTAGACCACTATTTCATTATTTACCCTCCAAAAACCGTCGTCTTTTCTCTGTCAACTTTACATTCTTTTGGTTAAATCTCGGCTAAATACCACCACAATATATTACATACGTCACTAAATGTCTTCTTTTAAACCCAGATCAACTTTCTTTTAAAGCTGTGATTAATTCACCGTTTATAAATGACGTAATCAAATTGATTTATTAAAGTGCTTGTAAAAAGGAATGAAAATTTGAATGATACAAATTGTTGCTATCAGTGTTCCCATACACATAAAAATTTAGAAAACCTCTTTACAATCCCTTCAAGAGCCTATTTCAATCATTTTATCCCATATTTCAGGGTGCTATTTTATAATCCCATATTCCAGGGTACTATTTTTATAATCCTATATTCCAGGGTACTATTTTATAATCCCATATTTCAGGGTACTATTTTATAATCCCATATTCCAGGGTACTATTTTTATAATCCCATATTTCAGGGTACTATTTTATAATCCCATATTTCAGGGTACTATTTTATAATCCCATATTTCAGGGTGCTATTTTATAATCCCATATTTCAGGGTACTATTTTATAATCCTATATTCCAGGGTACTATTTTATAATCCCATATTTCAGGGTACTATTTTATAATCCCATATTTCAGGGTACTATTTTATAATCCCATATTTCAGGGTACTATTTTATAATCCTATATTTCAGGGTTCTATTTTATAATCCTATATTTCAGGGTGCTATTTTATAATCCTATATTTCAGGGTACTATTTTATAATCCCATATTTCAGGGTGCTATTTTATAATCCTATATTTCAGGGTGCTATTTTATAATCCTATATTTCAGGGTACTATTTCATAATCCCATATTTCAGGGTGCTATTTTATAATCCCATATTTCAGGGTGCTATTTTATAATCCTATATTTCAGGGTACTATTTCATAATCCCATATTTCAGGGTGCTATTTTATAATCCCATATTTCAGGGTGCTATTTTATAATCCCATATTTCAGGGTGCTATTTTACAATCCCATATTTCAGGGTGCTATTTTATAATCCCATATTTCAGGGTGCTACTTTTTCAATGGTGACTGTTTAGTTCGATGTCCAAATAACAGGCAGCCATTGGGCACATATTCCAACTTCGCTATTAAAAATATGTTATGTGGTAACAGCGGCTGGTGCTGCCCAAGGAGTTACTACGTACCGCCACCTGGAAGAATGGCAGGGGACAAAACAACAACTACAACCTCAACAACTACTACTACCACTACGACTACGGCAGCGCCAACCACTACTACTACAACGGAACCCACCACCACTCTACCGCCATCGACAACGCGGTATCTCTCAGCGCCAGGTCAGTCCAAAATGATATTTACTATTTCTTACAGCGATCGTAATGTGACACCTTAAATCTAAGAATTGCAGTAATCTGAAAAGATAATTTAACTAAAATAAAAACAAATCTTAAATCGAAAAAAATAAATTATTCATTAATTCTAACGAGTTTAATGTCCACTTTTAGACCTTTATCTTGAAAACTTTGACGAAATCCAGATTTAAAACCCATGTAAGTGATTGTCCAATCCGATGACCTGACCTAAGACGAAATCCAGAATCCACGAAAAACATAAATCTGATTGGATAATAAAACTAGATTTGAAACCGATATTAGTGATTGACCAATTAGATTACAGGAAAACATCAGTTTATGTAACAGTTTGTTAGAATAAGGCCCCAGATTGAAGGCTTTAGTAGTTCCTTCCCGTATTTTACTGTAAAGCAATTATTTAGACGAATAAGTGCCTTAGAGTATGCGTCATTCAAGACACCTGATACCACTTTATGAAATACTAACTCACTTATGCTTGATATTCTGCCGCATATGAATATTACATTTGCTGCTACCATTGTTTTGCGAAAGTGTTGCTATGGATTTCGGGTTTCGTTTTGCGGTTCGGATCTTTAGGTTTATGTATTTATCTTCATATGAAAGAATCCTTAGCTGCTTCTAATGTCTTGCCAAGGTGTTGCTTTGAACTTGGGCATTTATTATAACTTCTCTTTTAAATTTCTTTTGTTATTTAGGTTGCGGTGTTCGTGGTCCGTCGACAAAGATTATAGGAGGTATTCAAGCCCAGTATTGCGAGTTTCAGTATATGGCCTATATTCATCTGGAGGGTAGTCCGTGTGGGGGCGCTATAATAGATGATAGACATATCATAACAGCGGCACATTGTCTGTGGTAAGTCACAGTTTCTTTCCTTTTCTTTTCTTATTTTCAGAAGTATGTCGTCTCTAGGATTCTTCCATAGTCTCCTTCTAATGGCGTTATTTTATAATGAAAACGTGTCATTTAGAACCCAGCATGTGTTTTTTGAGGTTTCATATCCCACAATTCCTCAATGTTATCAAGAAACGGATCCGATATGAGTACAGATATCCCGGCAAAGACCAGTTTCAAGAGATTTGGCCACGGAACAGCTGGTAGACATATTCCTTGTGGACCAAAGTTTTTATACCTTTGAAAAAACTAATCTGGCCTTTTTCTTCCAGGGATTTAAATGGACATCAACCGGAAGTAGTTATAGGCGAATACAACAGATCTCGCTTTGAGCCTAACTTTGAATTTAAAACTACAAATTATAGAAAAGTTCCGCATGGTGCCTATAACTCCAGAACTTATGGTATGGTTTGTTACTTTTATTTCCAGTCGACCCAGCTGAAAATGGGTACAAATAATCCGAGATAGATCAATTCTAAGAGGTTCGACCATGGACCAATCGGAAGGAGGGATCCTTTGTGATCTTAAGTCGTTATCCTTGTAAAATATCTACAAAAAGATCAATGTCAAGTGGTTTGGCCAAGGACCAGCTAGGAGAAAGGATCCTTAACTGTGAAATTGAGCTGTAATCCTTTAAATATTGTTGTCTCTTTCTTATACATCTTTAAATTATTTTGTATTTTTAGAAAATGATATAGCCATAATTAAGTTAAGGGAACCAATAGATTTCAGTCAGTTTCGATGTTTACGACCGATCTGCAGACCAGATAAAAATTTAAAATTCCCTGTAAATACGTTATGTACAGTCACAGGATGGGGTGTTACTGCAGCTTTTTATGATGGTGAGTTAAATTATTTCTTTGAAGTCCTTATCAGCAACAGCTTTCTCGCCTTTTTCCTCACTTTCTCGACTTTGTCCTCGCCTTTTTCTTCGCCTTTCTCACCCTTTTCCTCGCTTTGTCGTCTCTCGACTTCTCGTGGTAATATGGCCGCAGCCGGCTTCCCCATCTTCCCTTTCAGCTTCTTCATAATGTTAAGCGAGCAAGTGTCAAATTCACTGAGCCACCGAAGGAGAAGCTACGTGATGAGAAGGAAAGGAGAGAACAGACGATAATACTGCTTAAAGGGTCCGTCTTTACAGTGTCCTGCTATTACGAACTCCGTCAAATACCTTGACATCAATGAGCACTTTTCTGGTATCAAGGAATCTTTTTGCTTGTATTGTACACTGGAGAATATAACAACACAGAGCTGTGTGTGTCACTTTCAGTTGTCGTCTGTCATTGTACACGCCATTTCTTTTACTTTGCTTATTTTGAACAAGAAATGTGATTGGCTATTATATGACAAGGGGTGTGACTTATCTGAACACTTTAAACGGAAGTAAGTTTTCGCTCTCTTATAAAAAAAAGTGCAGAAAAGGTCCAACAAGTCAATACCGAGATCACCATATCTGACGATCTAGATTTAAATAGATGTAACAGGGGTATCGGGAACCCTAGCAGCGAAGTGTCAACAACACCCAAGGAAAGTTTTGGGTTTTTTTCGCAAAAGAAAAAGTGACAAGCGTACTTTAAGTGATACGATGTTGAAATGGCGACAGTACCAGCCAACCTCGATAGAGGGAAACCAATTAATGCGTTTATTTAAACAACCAGTTTCTTCTCAAAATATCAGTATTAAGCCTTACTCAACTTGAAACGCCCAGAATCTTTTGTGCCTTGTTCAACATTGGGGTCAACTAATACAAACCATTTTAACATTCTCACAAAACAGGTGCACATTTTTCTGCATTCGGCAACTTCCGACAGTTTCCGTATAGCTGAGTCAGAGAGAATTAAAAAAATTGGACGTTGAGCATAATAATTCTCGCTAATTTGTGTACCAATTAAATTTTTAATTAGATGGAGAATGTACGAACCCAAAATTCTAGATCCGCGAATTGACGAGGTAGGCCTACGGTGCGGTAAACGGGGTGGGGTTATTGATACAAAAAAACAGAAGAAGTGAATTCACGGTAAGGAAAAGATTCGCTGCTACAATCATCTATTGTATGGATAATCCCGCACGGTACTTCGATTATTCCCAGATTAATATGGGTGTTTATAGCTACAGAGAACTGTACTTGACACAATTGCATGTTTCTGTGTTCAGATTGCCTTTCACATCGACCCCTTAAACAAACAGAATGTCCAGTGAGTAAATTTGTTTGATTCTTGAAAGTGGCTCGGATAAATAGCCCTTACGACGATTAAATTGATCTACTTATGAAACTGGGAGACAACAAACTGAAAGATCCAGTGGCATGTCAACACACCCGAAAATAAATGAAAGGATTGGGACTTCTTCTCCATGTTTTTGCTGTTGAAAACAACGATGACACACCATTTACTCTTTAGCCTAGGGGATTACTTTTATATATGCTTTCTAGTACCCCTTCCAGAATCTTTGATCGATTGCATTTTCCGTCCTAATGCGGGTTTCTAATCAGCAAATATTTATCGTGGAGTTGCGGCCCCTCCGCATGTTTAGTTTTTGACACCTGTAGAGAAAAGACCACGAGAATAAAGGATAGTTCGGAATGCGACTGTTGTTTTTGGTTAGGCTACTAAAATTTGAATTCAAAATGATGATACTCAGGTTGAAACGTCAATGGTTATTCCTCGTAAATATCACTGTCCATTGACAACATCTTGACACTAATAGATATGTAATTAGGTCATATAAAGCACCCTTGACATAATTAAGTCGAAAGTAGGTCACTGCTGTTTTCTTGTTGAAACAATTAATTTTAAAGGTCACTGAACGCCGATGACAGTTTTAAACTATCTGACACTTATTATCCGCGTTGATAGTATTAAATAGATAATACCGTCTAATATTAACTTTACCAGCTGATAGAGCTTGATTTCAGCTATCTGTATAGTCATCTAAATATTTACTTTACCTGCTGATACAATTCAACATGGTGCAGAAAAGTAGGACGTAAAACTCATTCATTTCATTTCATTTCTGATACAATTCAATTTCAGCTGCCAATAAAGTCCGCTAAACATTTGCTTTACGAAATGATAGAGTTCCATTTCAGCTCCTACATAACCATAAAATATTTAATATTTGCTTTACTAGCTGATAGAGCTTAATTTCAGCTATCTGTATAATCAATATTTACTTTACCATCTGATAGAGCTTAATTTCAGCTATCTGTCAAGTCCTCTAAATATTTACTTTACCAGCTGATAGAGCTTAATTTCAGCTATCTGTCAAGTCCTCTAAATATTTACTTTACCAGCTGATAGAGCTTAATTTCAGCTATCTGTCAAGTTCGCTAAATATTTACTTTAACAGCTGATAGAGTTTAATTTCAGCTATCTGTCAAGTCCTCTAAATATTTACTTTACCAGCTGATAGAGCTCAATTTCAGCTATCTGATAGTCATCTAAATATTTACTTTACCAGCTGATAGAGCTCAATTTCAGCTATCTTTATAGTCATCTAAATATTTACTTTACCAGCTGATAGAGCTCAATTTCAGCTATCTGATAGTCCTCTAAATATTTACTTTACCAGCTGATAGAGCTCAATTTCAGCTATCTGTCAAGTTCGCTAAATATTTACTTTAACAGCTGATAGAGTTTAATTTCAGCTATCTGATAGTCATCTAAATATTTACTTTACCAGCTGATAGAGCTCTATTTCAGCTATCTGATAGTCATCTAAATATTTACTTTACCAGCTGATAGAGCTCAATTTCAGCTATCTATATAGTCATCTTAATATTTACTTTACCATCTGATAGAGCTCAATTTCAGCTATCTATCAAGTCCTCTAAATATTTACTTTACCAGCTGATAGAGCTCAATTTCAGCTATCTGATAGTCCTCTAAATATTGATGTATTGAGCACTATTTTAACAGTGGTATTTCTATATCTCTCTACAATTGATGTATTGAGCAATATTTTAACAGTGGTATTTCTATATCTCTCAACAATTGATGTATTGAGCAATATTTTAACAATGGTATTTCTATATCTCTCTACAATTGATGTATTGAGCAATATTTTAACAATGGTATTTCTATATTGCTCTACAATTGATGTATTGAGCACTATTTTAACAATGGTATTTCTATATCTCTCTACAATTGATGTATTGAGCAATATTTCAACAATGGTATTTCTATATTGCTCTACAATTCTATAAAGTCAGAAAGCTTTGTGCATGTTCATAATGTCAAGCTAGTACGAACTTAGTTTTATACCTTGACATCAATAGCCACCTTTCTTGTGTCACAGAAGTTTGTAAATGCATCTACTTAATTGGATCGTAATCACGCGGATACAGCCAATCAGAGGCCAGGACAGGCAGTCTGTAAATAGCTCTTTCTGTTGAGAGCTGAATTTGCTGAGATACAATCCATTCAGATCTAATCGCTGCATAATGTGATAAGAGAAAGGTGACTGTTGCAGTCAAGATATAAGACATTACATGTTAAAATTTGACAATTTGAAGATGTGAACAGTAGTGCAGTCGAGGGGCGGTGTGGTTAAGGAAGGGGAAGAGGGTGGGGGAATTTGTGTTGGTGCTGTCACAGGCGACTCTCAAACACCCATATTCATTGAGCACTACGTGTTAGTGGAAAATCGTATATATCTGCATTATCAGCTCACTCTTAAGCATTTTCAGAATTTCATCTTGTATGTCCAGCTATCTTATCTCGAATCTCGAATCTTAAATAATTAGAGTATTGATCCCAGTTTATTAAAAAAATATAAACTGTATTCTGTTAGCCTATAACAAGAACTTTGCATTTAGATTGGTTACAGTTACAGTCCCACCTTTCCCTGGACTCAGGCGGAGAAGTTCTACCGACTAGAGAGGGATGAGGGGGCATAGCTCCATTGAGAAAGCAAAGCAAATCCCACGAAATTCAGCGGGTTGTACGCCAGCGAATATAGCCAATTAGAGACTTTGACAGACTTCAAATTGGTTATTGTCTGCCTGTACTGGGTGGACTACAAATCTTACGAGCGGGATAATTGCATCGTAGGACACTGACGACAATATAACATTATACTTTATTATCAGTCAATACATAGAAATAAGCGCCATTAACAGACACCGTCTAGTACCTCATGTAGTATATCTTCCATGACATTCCACGTCTCGGCAAATTTAGCTTTAGAGGGATCCGAAGCAACAATTCTCAGCTCATTCATATCGGCGCCATCGGTAATTCCTATGGCGTGGATAATCGTTCCGGAAGTTTTGGCCAACGTCGCTGCAGAATAAGGAGCAGGATTGGAGTTTCCATCAGCAAATAATACAATATGTTGCGGGGCTGCAAATCGAGAATTTTCACTCAACATCCTTTGGGCTCTCGTTATGCCAACTCCGGCAGATGTACCGCCATCGTCTGGGAATTTAAGAGCACGAATTTGCGATGCCAACGCTTCGGCGTCACCAGTAATTTGAATTACTGCTTCGATAGTAAAATCAAAAACTACAACACCAACTCTTATCGCAGATTCGCCTATATTGAATCGTGGCATGGCATCTGCTAACTTGTTTACCATACCTTCGAAATTTCTTGCTCCGATTGAAGGCGATCCATCCAGTACAAAAACTACATCAAGTATTCTAACGCATTCTGAAATTAGAATGTTAGATGACATAATAGGAAGGTTAACATGGCGAACACACTATTCTCAAATTACTCCAAACGTTTCGAAACATTATACAGGCAACATTATCAACTAACACTTTAACTTAAAACATTACCTGTAAGCCTTTTGAAACGTAGTATGTCAGTAGCAATATATATCGATATAACCGAGATTGAAGTTATAAGTTAAAAACAAATTTAAAAAAAAATAAATTTTGACTTTGGCCTCCGATACCGCAAGCTGTCAGCGACCATTTACAAGATTCAAGAGTAACTAGAAGGTGAAGTAACTTGGTATAGATACAATACTCAAAGATTTCGGAGAATAAAATCAGGGGTTGAAATACGATTCTGTATGTACAGATGGCCGGATTAATTCAACTAGAAGGAAGGACTTGCCCGATTCATCTAGTGTTACACGAGATAAAATTATCCCCACCCCATAGGAGACCCGCAAATGATAAATCAAGTCAACTTACGACAATATAATAGATTAGAGACATCCCAATTTCCAGTCGCCAAACATTGAATTAATGCAGCACCTCGTAGACGTGTAGTTCTTGGATTACAGGAGTAAGATGCTGTTTTTGTGTATGTGGTGCCACTAGATGCCGTACCAGTGGATGCAGTACCAGGGGGAGGAACTCCACAATCTTTAGCTGAAAAAGATCTAGACAGCATTAGAAATGATGGCAACTAGAAGATTGTGACACACTAGCAATCACAAAAAAAGAACAGAAATGTAGTTGTGGGCTGCATATAAACAACTTCCTAATCGAATTTAGTTGAAATCGTTTATTTCGAAACCAAATACCTCTTTTCAGTCTGAAATGCGTTCCCACGATTGCTGTACTTCATGTAAAGAGTTCAAGAGCTGCGACCAATGTTTGCCAAAATTTTGGATTTCATGCTTGTTTTGCGCTCCGAAAGCCGTTAGTACTAATTTTGTCTATTATGGCCAAACCCCATTGAATTCCAATTTGAATGAAATTAAGATTTAAAATAATTACAAGGTTTACAGAAGAAGTAAATGTCGAGACTTACGTTCACAAACAAGTATATTAGCTATATCCCACTTCCCTGTATCAAGACACTCAATCTGTGAATTACCACTTTGTCTTACAAATCCTTCATTACAAATATAATCCGCTGTATCTGTGTATGTAGTACCACTTGAGGCAGTTCCAGTGGATTCAGTACCAGGAGGAGGATCTCCACAATCTTTCGCTAAAAACAGCAGATATAAACATGTTAAAGATAGCTTGCTAATATACGCCCACTGGTAGCTTTGATTTTTTTTCCATTGGCAGTACAGTGACAATCTGGAAATACTCAACCTTCAGTCATACACTTGTGAACTTTTTGGGTGATGTTATTAGTAATAATTATATTAACATACTTCTGTGAAAAAAAATGCATTTCTAGTTTGAATTTTTTTCTCTACTGTCCGTTAAAAATGGGAGTCATTGTCAAATTCAAACTTGACCACGATTTTACTATAAATAAATGAATATAGTTTTACGCCTTAACGTAAATCAGACCAATTTTATTTAAAAACCAGATGAAAACTAGTCTCCATTGTGCTAACAAATTTTGAAGCGTTTTGACTAAGTCAAGGACAATAACTCAAAAACCTTCACTGAAAAACTATTTAAAATGGAGGTAAATTTTAAGTTATCCTTTTTTGCGTAAAAAAACTGCAGTACGGATTTAAGCAAAAATAACGCCTAATTGTGGAGAAATATATACTACTTATTCTGAACGTTTTGTTTTCCATTGAATTCCGTTACGATGCCTTCCACTACCATTAAAAAGTATTTTCGATCTACAAGTCTTAAAGGACTCGTTCACAACAGAAACAAATTGGCAAGATCTAAATATTGTCTCATATTTGATATATATATATATATATTTTTTTTTTTTTTGTTTTTTTTATTCGCCGATGTAACATTCATCGATTTTTCGAGCAAAGAAATGAAATTCGAAGACATTTTCATAACAACTTAATTTTGATTTCGCAATGTGGATGACACTGTTTTGTTTTTTTTTTTTCTGATACTAAAAATACACATTGCGTCTATGGAACGGAAACAACCAAACTATTATGTTATTACGTTTACGATTTGAAATAAAAAATGAAGGATTACAGAAGAAGTAAATGTAGAGACTTACCTTCACAAACAAGTATATTAGCAACATCCCACTTCCCTGTATCTAGACATTCGAGCTGTATATTACCACTTTGTCTTTCATATCCAGTATTACAAGTATAATCCGCTAAGCTTTTGTATGTGGTACCACTTGATGCAGTTCCCGATGACATGGCAGAAGGCACTGATGGTAAAACAGCTCCACAATCTTTAACTGGAAAAAGATTTAGACAGCATAAGAAATGATTCCAACTAGCAGATTGTGACACACTAGGAAGGAGACAAAAATAGAACTGAACATATCCTGAAATTGTTGTGAAACTGTATAATCCGTTGACTAGTTCTGGACACCATATAAAACTTCTACCTCGAATTTAGTTGAAATCGTATATAATAGCCAAACCCCATCGAGTTCAAATTTGCATTCAAGTAGGATTTAAATAATAATTTCAAGTATTACAGAAGAAGGTATCATAGACAGAAGATTAAAACATGTTTAAGGTTTGTTAAGAATTTCAAGATTGATTACAGAAGAAGTAAATGTCGAGACTTACATTCACAAACAAGTATATTAGCTATATCCCACTTCCCTGTAACTAGACAGCTAATCTGTAAATTACCGCTTTGCATTACATATCCTTTATTACAAGTATAATCCGCTGTTTGTGTGTAGGTGGTACCACTTGATGCAATTCCTGTGGATCCAGTACCTGGAGGAGGATTTCCACAATCTTTAGCTGAAATGGACCATATACCAGTTAAATTCGATTCAAATCTTTAAGGAACGTCCGTTAAGACATTGGGAAACAGATATTAATTTTTGGTACAAAGATATAGTTTCGAATTTAAGACTAGCATTAAAATTACAATCGTCTCACGCGAGAGGTTAGAGTTTTTATTATATTGCGGACGAACATTTCATTCGAGGCTAAAACATTAAAAATTGTGATTTTTCTTTATGGATTATCAAAACCTGAAAAAAAAAGATTACAACTCGTGAAGATTAAGCGTTAAGAAACTAAAAAAAAAAAAGGAACTCACGTGGGCATGCGATGTCAGGTACAGTCCAAATCCCATCAGCACCACAAGTAGATATAGCAACACCACTTTTATCATAACCATCATTACAAATAAACGAACAGGTGTCTTGATATTTATTGTTACCAGTACATTGTTCTAATTGAATATTTGGGATGACAAACGAAGTCACAGGACCACAAACAGTTTCACAAGATGTCTAGAATATAAAACGGAGGTCGGTCGAATCAAGATAGAGATATACATTTATTGTGTACTGGCTATATCTGGGCCATGTAAAAATTTGTCCGAAAGCCTAAGCCTGTGAATAAAAACATGACTACCAAATTACATATTTGATTTTCAGGTCGTCCGGTTCATGTAAATCTCACACTTGGATGTCTGGACTACCACTGAACTTAAGAACCACGGGCAGATGGTGAACACAAGGACTAGAAAACGGGAAATGTGAATGTCTATTAGCTTTAAAACTAAAATCTATTGAAAGTTACTTACACCTTCACAATTTGGAGTACATAAGGTTACATTACAATCAAAATTCAAATTTGCACTGTGGGCCAAATGGAATGCAAAGAAATAGGGGCTTCTAAATGTTTTACCAGTTGTTACAAAACCATCTGTTCGGTCAAATATTAACCCATCACCACATCTACAAAACAAAATATCCATGTTAAGATACACTCCTCGACAGTTTCCGACAATTCTCGATCCTCGACAGTTTCCGTACAGCTGAATCTTTTGCAATGATTTTGCAGAATTAATGGTAGATGTTAATTATCAAGTGGAATTAGTCTGAAATATTTTCTTGCTGATAGAGTTTGTAGCCTACTAGTTGTATGTGATTAAAAGCCAGGGTTTTGCAATGAGTTCCAGTAGAATTTCTATAAATGATAGTGTAGTAGAAAAACAGCATATAGCGTAGTATCTGCATTATGTACACAAAGATCCGCTTGAATTATTGAATTATTCATAATAGACCTAGTTGTATCCCCCCCCCCCCCCCCCCCCCCAAAAAAAATAAAGAGATTTAAATACTTACCCGGCTACTAATACTGCGTAACGTTCTCCATCGTCTGAAATCGCATCACAACTTACTGGTTTCAATCCCACATTTTGCTCTAAAAATAAAAAAAATTGATAAAATCGAGATAACATAGGTCGTTGAATACATTTTAGATTCAGGTTTCATCTGTTTAATAAGTTATGGATTTACGGAAATATACCCAGTCTCGCTCACAGGACCCAATCGGATAGGTAAACCCGAACCCAGTAGTAAACTCGAACCCAGGAGGTAAACCAGACTTACGAGCACCAGTATAAGAACCGAATAAGGAATATCTTCTATCTAAAGCAATCGAGCCAACTGCATCTTGATCGTCGACTGTTTGAATACTTAAAGATAATTCAGCTTTAGGAACAGATCCACCAACGATAGATTGTTTTTCTATGTATGCTTGTGGTCTGAAACGAGAGAGAAGATGTTTTAATACCTGTGAGTAAGAACGGGGGCTATTGGTAAAAGCGATTCAGTGTTACAATGTAAAAGTATTCAAACAAAATAAATTAGTGAAATTGCCATTATTCTGCTACACATTGACAGCATGGAAAACTTCTCTTTGAAGGAGTCCATTACTCTACTACCTTTACTCCTGATTTTGCAAATTTTTGGACGAGATTTTAGATTAACGGAATTGTCTTGCTTGTATAGAGAGCATGGAAAACAGTGTATGTAAATTGTAGATAGTAAACCAACCCATCTCTTATAGAATGTTGACCACTGTCATCTTTACCATGATCAGAATAAGTACACACTACAGTAACCAGTTTAGTTTTGGTCAGAATCAAACCATCCAATTCACCGTAATGTACCTCTACCTCAATATCAAAATTATCAGACCCATCTTTTTGCTGAAATAAATTACGATATGAGTTAAAATGATACAGATATCCTTCAAAATTAATAGTTTTTCAAATTTCAAATTGTAAAGTTGAGAGACTTTTTAGTTAAGTTAAAGGGTGTTAACCTTATTGCTTTCAAACCTTACTGGTTACTTACATTTAACTCACAGAGGTTATCACGAGTTGTTAAGGTTGCTGGTAGAGTGTAATGTACAGAATCTGTGGTAATAAACGACTTTTCACCATTTTTACATTTAGCAATAGCCGATATATCTACGTCTGTCAGGATATTTAATACTGCACTGTTCGCTGCTTCATTAGCCCCACAGTCGATAGTTACTGAAAATTAAGGCCACGTTTGATTTTAAAGTGGACGAAGACATTGTAAAGAAATGGAAATTTGAAGGCTGTATCAAGCTAATATTGTGAAGAGAGTGTGCCAAGAGGTACCTCTCGTTTTTGAGCAATCGTATCTTAAAGTCTCAGAAACCGATTTTTTTAGCTAAGCCAATCATAAGTTCACTGTCGAAATTTGAGCCTTCAAATCCAGGTGTCCAGAATTATCTGCGTTTTGAGACACCGTCATATATAGAAAAGACATCTATAACAAAATAGGAAAAAGAAATTCCTAGCTTTGAGATATTTTATTGAAGTTAGTATGCGATTTTAGTTATGTTTAGTACTTCTGAAGGCGACATTATTTCGAGACTCAAATCAACAACCCACCCTCCCCCCCCCTCCCCCCCCACCCACCCAAAAAATTGTCCCTTAAGGCTATGATACTTACCATCGATAATACTATTAGTGTCTTTGACTAAAGAAAAACTCTCGACTCCTACTACAATCTAAAAAAAAAAAATTTGGAAGATTATTTCCATAGTGGCAAATATTACTGTGCAATAATTTGCAAAGATATCTTGGTCCTTATTTTCTTTTCCGTGGAAGTTGTCAATTCAATAGTAAGCTAAGATATCTAGGCCCTTCTTGTCTGTATAAGATCAATTATTGATACAAAGTTTACATTACATATAGGAAAATGTTTAAACCAGCGCCTCGGATATTTAATTTTTGAAGAATGTGAACATGTCCCCTGGATGCGAGTGAATTTTTATACAAGACAAGTTTCCTTTAACGTTTGACTTTTAAAACTTAGAAAAGTCGGTCTAGATCCTATTGAAACCAATTAGATATTGATAATATAAAATTCCAGATAAAATTCCAGGTTTTAAAAATATAGAAATAATACTGAAAACTTCCAGCAAGAAAAAATAATGGAAGTAACCTCGCCATGTTGCTAAATCTGTAAAAATAAAAATGTTAAAGTGAATATACAGCAAAGTATTCATGCCATTCTATAGACCGAAATGGACATTTTTTCAGTTGTAGGCTGATGTCAAAATCAGTGGTGTTCCTAGGAAAAATTAGTTGAGAGAGAGAGAAAGGGGGGCGGGGCGAGAAGGGGCCACAATAATTCTCAGGGGGCCCCAGCCTAAGTTGTCATGGTGTACATTAAAAAAATGTCGGGAGCCTCTTTTCTGAAAAGGGTAGGGGGGGGGGGGGGGGGGTTG